TTGTGTGTTCAGCAAATATCAATTATTCATTACATTGACGGCAAATTAATTATTTAATTTACACTCCTGAAACTGAAAACGATTGATGCGTTATATTTTGTATTTCCCTACCATCTGGTTTACTTAAACAAAATTAAAATAATCTGTTTTTGTTCTTCCCAAAGTCTCCAACTTTTTATCTAATGAAAAAAAATGCGCAAGTGATCAGTTAACTGCCACGTGTAAATTTAACATAACGTTGTTTTTAAGATTTATTTTTAATTCTGCAATAAGAAAGAAACGACATCGTAAAGGTCGGTATAGTCATGCAAAAACTAATAGTAATAATGTTTATACGGTTGTTTGTGTCTGCTTATGTTCAATGTATTTGAAAAGCGTTACCTTCAAACTCCGGTTTTTCTCTCTCAGCTTGTTTACCCGTGCAAAATTCAAACAGTGGCTGTAGATTTTCCATGCGTGAAACGTAGTCGTATCATGAACATTAATGCCCAACTTATTGCAATAATATAAATTGCCATTGTAGTCAGAAATATGAAAAGAGAAAATTTTATTGACGTTTCATCGCAGCGCTCGACATCTTTAGAATGGTAGTATAAGTATGGAATAAGATTACAAAAAGGATATAAGTATTTGCAATGTATGAATAAATTAAGTAGTAAAAGAGGGATTAACCAATCACAGGAAGAATCTTGTATTCTTATATCATCATTCTAAAGATGTTGAGGGGTCTTCAACCCACAGCAGGTTCTATACTTCTATTACAAAAATGATGCGATGCAGAAATCCATGAACGCTTTCATTTCACGTATCATTTTTTATTATTATCAGATTTATTACCATTTACACGAACATTTTCTTTTCACTTGATTCTAAATACCACTGCGGCAGAGTCAAGAATGTGGGTGTGATACCAGGTACCAAGTAGCAAGTACTGGGTAACATGTAGCGGGGTAATGCTAGAGAAGACTGGTACTATTTAGCAGTATAATATAATACCGGATAAACGCTTTATCAAAAAGGCGTATTGAACTTGTTGTGGTAAAAAAACGGCGATTCAATGAAGAAACTTAACGAATTTAATTGTAAGTCTTAAAAGTTTTATTGTCCGAAGCTTTCACCGTTTTTAACAAAAAAATATTCTTTTGTTTATGTTGTTTTGTATAACATTGGAAGCATTGCGAATTGAAATTTGTGTTTCGATGCATAAAAAGCTGAATATACTGACTGAATATTCTGATATTTTGTCCTCGATACGTTGCTTCCTCCATTTGTGCACACGTAATTTTCCTCTTTGACGGTAAACACAACAAAATACTTTCTTAGCTTCCTTTCAAAATCAAAGCAAAATGCAGGAGGAATTTACTACTTGAAAGCAAGAACATTTGGAATACCAAAAACACTAGAAAAAAAATGTTAGCGTTTTCCAAGAAAGAAAAGTAAAAAGCAAGCAATGCAAAAACTGTTACTTCTTTTTTCTCTTACCGCAAGAGTGGTCATTCCACGGAATTCTCAAAGCGAACCTGCAACAATTTATTTTCATTGCGCAAGCAATCACAATGTGTGGCAAAGACACAATGCTACTTCTATGGACGCCTGTATTCAATTCTTCCTAAATTAGGCACATCTTAGATAGCAATTGGGCATGCAATATTTTCGCACAAACATTAATTTATACGAATAAACTGCTATCTGGTACAAGGTACCCTCCACTCGATATTTGCTTTCCGATATCTGCTTTCCGATACCTGGTACCCGGTGCTTATGCTTTTGTTTTCCATCATACCAATCTTTTGCAAAGAGTGTCGAAACATCAGCTAAGGCTAGAACCAACAGTCTGCAACAACCTGAATTATCTACTAACGTCTACAAACATGTAATTGCATAACCTGGGTAAAAATTTGTAAATTTCAAATCATGAAAAATTGTGTGTTATAATGTTTGTTTTCATGTTCTTTATTTCTTCATAATGCAGAAAAGAAAGAAAGACGACGTCACAAAAGTCATGAACTTTACCTACGATAAATGATTACTCTGTTTGTTTATGTCCGTTTACATTTTACTGTATTGAAAAGAAACTAATTTTAAGCGTGTTTTCTGTTTCTATGCTGCCACATTTAAGAAGAATAATTTCAATTATAACATGTCCTCTTTGCACTAAATATTAGTTTTTAATGTTGACATTTGGAAATTGACATATAAAGGCTGGAAAATTTGTTTAAAACATTGTTGTCTGTGATTAGCTAGTTTATTCGTCCCTAACAAGAAGTAAAAAGAGTCATTCACCCACAGCACTGACTGAAAATATACTGGTCTTGATTTTCACTCTTGAAATATCATTGAGTTTTCAAAGTAGATGTATACAACTGATATACAAATTGACAACTGATGTATGAATTGACGTTTTTTGGGATGGATTTTTGTGGTTGTTAATTCCCGTTTTCTGTTATTATCAACTGTCTTGGAGCAAAGTCAATTCATTTAAGAGGTTTTTCGTCTCTATTTAGTCACAATTTTAAAGAATAAGATATTGAATTTGAAGTGTAATGCTTAAATGTGATAATAATGTGATTTTTTTATACATTGCAGATAGTAACGATGATGATGAAGGTTAGTTTATCATGTAGTATAATACTTACAAATGTTTATAAATAACGCATTAATGACAATAGCTTTTATCGCCGTCAAGTTATTTATGTGCCGAGAGGTCTATTTAAGCATTTATCTTCTCTAGGTCTCTCAATTCTCAGGTTTTCTTTTCACGTTGGCATATTTGTACTCTTTCCAGTTACTTAGCATTCCTATTCTTTTTCTTTCCTTCGGTTTGTTGCTATAAACTCTTTCCTCGGCCACTTATTTCAACACGTTATTACTGCGAAAGATGTGTCAATTCTACCTCTTTTTAATTCTATGGTATTTCTACCCAACATCTCTCTTTTTTCATCTACAACATCAACATCACTTCTATTGTTTTCCTTTCTATTCAGCCTACTCTCCATTCTTCCCGAGATTCACATCACAAGTGCCTCTATCTTTCTCATATCTATCGCTTGCTCTTCATGACTATGATCCAAAAACGATGCTACAAACACCAAACAACTGTTTTAATGATTCAATTTTTCTTTTTTTTACGTATACCTCTTGTGAGTACTTTTCTTTTGTTGAAAGCTGATTTTGCCATATCTCTTTTCATTTTTATCTCTTGTAATTATCTGTTATCAAGGAACCCAAATAACAAATATGTTTTACCGGCGTAATTCTTCATTCAAAACTATATCAAGATTGCCACCAAATTGTTTGGAAACTGCAGTAACTTCTGTCGTCTTTATATTTGTGCTCATACCATATTCTTCTGATACATCACCCAGTCTATCTAAGATATTCTGCATAATTTTTTTCTTCATAAATGCGTGTTATTATCCGTAAGAAACAAATAATTTCAAAAGAACTTGATCTTGCAAAACATGTATAATGAATATTATTGTGTCATCATCGAGTTAGCTACGCCCCTTAAGAAAGCTGTGTATTGTATTATATTATCATTTGCTAATGTTTTTTTTTTGCATTGTTCCAGCTTCAAAAATAACAGAAACTTCTGCAGGTCAATTGAATGATAATCACGGTTTCGAAGACAGCGATGCATCAGGTAACAAAATTTTTATTTTTCAGAAAAATCATTCTTCATTGTCGTTCTGTTTCCTGCTTGTCTCTCAACTCATATTTACAATGTAAATTTTACATTAAAGTGTATAAGAGTGATCATTGAAGAAAAACAGGTACGCAATGCGTACATGTAACAGCCTTTCTTCAACACAATTCAAATGATCCATATTTAACGAACATAAAATGTATGAGACATTTATATAAGATTTATAAAAGCCTCTTTAAGAAGTGAAAGATTATAATTTCACAACTATGATAATAATTTTGTAAAATATTGTCACAAACACTACTTACGCAAGGTATTGAAAATCTCACACACTGGGCTGGCCAAAAACACAAAATAGTGACTTCTCTGAAAATACCTCAAATTTATACAATGAATTTATCATTGCTAGGGCATTCATACTCTAGCATAAGATGGTTTCGGTAGTGTGACACCCTGTATAATTGTACTGCACAGAAAAAAAATATCACGTATCATATAGCGTCTTTCAAGCTATTATTTAATTCATGGGATACAACAATATCATGACTTTTGCATGGCTTTACAGAAGTTTATCATAATTTAGCCAGTCATATTCACGCACTTTTGTCGTCATACAAAACATTGAAGCGTAAGTTTAAAATGTCATTATTCTAAGGTATAGCCTGAGTTCGGGTAATCCATACAGTCCCTTTTTGCGTTCCTAAATATATGACCAAAACATGGACGTCTTTTAAAGTACAATTCTTAAAATTTTCAGCGACTAAAAATCAAAAACCTCTCTTTAAGCTTTAGAATAAGTTTTAGAAAAATCACTGATGATTGTTAGAAAAAAGTTAGCCACATCATGAGCATAACCAGCCAGTCTGTGATTATGTTTTATAGCTAGTTTGAATTGCTTACTTACTTTTTTAAAATGCATTTCAAGCAGTTAGTTTGCTGTGTTTCAATGTAATTATACTGTTGTTTTTATGTTTAGTTTGTCGTGCGTTAGAAGAAGGTACATTTTATTTCAATGTGAATCCACAGCGCTATCCGCAGCTATTGGTGCTAATTATTTTATGACTCCTGTCAACTTTGAAATCTAATTTATGTTTTAGTTTCCCATAATGATGAACTTAAAAAAGTAGACCAATCTTCATCTTCTAGTACAATGAGTAATACGAATTTTTGATATTTATTAATGGAGCTTGAAACTCTTTTCTTTGCATTAATGTTCTTGTCTTATTCTCCATAGAGCAATATATAAAAAGAGAGGGTATTTTGCCCAATATCACGTCTTTAGAAAGTGATGAAAAAATTAAAACGAGAGGTAATGAAGTGGGAAATTATTGTGGAATAGCTCACCAAATATTACCTTAGTCTTGCTGCATGTGATGTTTTGTAATTATGTTATCATATAATTGCATTGTTACTGCATTTGAAGATGTTAACGTTGCCAAAAGTGCTGTGCCTTCTAAATCGGAAGCTGGTAAGTAACAGTCTTTTCTTTACTTCCCAGCCTCATATTATCAACGTAAATTATACATGTAAATCTACATTCTACATACACAGTTACTAGTTTCTTTACTGAATTTCTAAAATACATCATTACTACTAAATTTTTCACATTTTAAAAGGTGAGCTAAAAGTTTTGCATAGTACTGTACTGCATAATAACATAAGATCGTTACACTAGAATATTTGCACAAGATCGTTAAAAGTATGCAAAGCCGATGTGGGCAGCAAAAAAATAAAATGCATGCTAAAAAATGTTCTTTATGAAAATGCTCATTGTGACTTAGATATTGGCGTGAGTCGTGTGAAAATTAACAAGCGTTGTTTTCAAAATGTCAGCGTTTTGACAGATCGCTATTTTTATCCGAAACCCTAAGAATAAAAAATTCTTACCATTGAATGAATTATTTTATTGTGTTGTGTTCAGCAAATATCAATTATTCATTACATTGACGGCAAATTAATTATTTAATTTACTCTCCTGAAACTGAAAACGATTGATGCGTTGGCGTTATATTTTGTATTTCCCTACCATCTGATTTACTTAAACAAAATTAAAATAATCTGTTTTTGTTCTTCCCAAAGTCTCCGACTTTTTATCTAATGAAAACAAATGCGCAAGTGATCAGTTAACTGCCACGTGTAAATTTAACGTAACGTTGTTTTTAAGATTTGTTTTTTTAATACTGCAATAAAAAAGAAACGACATCGAAAAGGTCGGTATAGTCATGCAAAAACTAATAGTAATAATGTTTATACGGTTGTTTATGTCTGCTTATACTCAATGTATTTGAAAAGCGTTACCTTCAAACTCCAGTTTTTCTCTCTCAGCATGTTAACACCTGCAAAATTCAAACAGTGGCTGTAGATTTTCCATGCGTGAAACGTAGTCGTATCATGAACATTAATGCCCAACTTATTGCAATAATATGAACTGCCATTGTAGTCAGAAATATGAAAAGAGGAAATTTTATTGACGTTTCATCGCAGCGCTCGACATCTTTAGAATGGTAGTATAAGTATGGAATAAGATTACAAAAAGGATATAAGTATTTACAATGTATAAATAAATTAAGTAGTAAAAGAGGGATTAACCAATCACAGGAAGAATCTTGTATTCTTATATCATCATTCTAAAGATGTTGAGGGGTCTTCAACCCACAGCAGGTTCTATACTTCTATTACAAAAATGATGCGATGCAGAAATCCATGAACGCTTTCATTTCATGTATCATTTTTTTATTATTATCAGATTTATTACCATTTACACGAACATTTTCTTTTCACTTGATTCTCAATACCACTGCGGCAGAGTCAAGAATGTGGGTGTGATATCAGGTACCAAGTAGCAAGTACTGGGTAACATGTAGCGGGGTAATGCTAGAGAAGACTGGTACTATTTAGCAGTATAATATAATACCGGATAAACGCTTTATCAAGAAGACGTAATGAACTTGTTGTGGTAAAAAAAAAAAGGCGATTCAACAAAGAAACTTAACGTATTTAATTGTAGGTCTTAAAAGTTTTATTGTCCGAAGCTTTTACCTTTTTTGACAAAAAAAAAACATTCTTGTGTTTATGTTGTTTTGTGTAACAATGGAAGCATTGCAAATTGAAATTTGTGTTTGCATGCATGAAAAGCTGAATATACTGACTGAATATTCTGATATTTTGTCCTCGATACGTTGCTTCCTCCATTTGTGCACACGTAATTTTCTCCTTTGACGATAAACACAAGAAAATACTTTTTTAGCTTCCTTTCAAAATCAAAGGAAAACGCAGGAGGAATTTACTACTTGAAAGCAAGAACTTTTGGAATACCAAAAACACTAGAAAAAAAATGTTAGCGTTTTCCAAGAAAGAAAAGTAAAAAGCAAGCAATGCCACAACTGTTACTTCTTTTTTTTCTTACCGTAATAGTGGTCATTCCACGATCATTCTCAAAGCGAATCAGCAAATATTTATTTTTATTGCGCAAGCAATCACAATGTGTGGCAAAGACACAATGCTACTTCTGTGGGAGCCTGTGATCAATTCTTCTTGAATTAGGCACATATTAGATAACAATTTGAAATGCAATATTTTCGCAAAAAACATAAATTTATACGAATAAACTGCTATCTGGTATCAGGTACCTTCCACTCAGTATTTGCTTTCCGATATCTGCTTTCCAATACTTGGTACCCCGTGCTTATGCCCTTGTTTTTTTATCATGCCAATCTTTTGCAAAGAATGCTGGAAAATTTGTTAAAAAAACATTATTATCTGTGATTAGCTAAGTTACAACAACAGGTTTATTCGTCCCTAAAAAGACGTAAAAAGAGTCATTCACACATAACACTGACTGAAAATGTACTGTTCTTGATTTTCAGTCTTAAAATATCACTGAGTTTTTAAAGTAGATGTATACAAGTAATATACAATTTGACAATTGACGTATGAATTGACGTTATTTTGGGATAGATTTTTGTAGTTGTTAACTCCTGTTTGCTGTTTGTAAAAACTGTCTTGGAGCAAATTCAATTCATTTAAGAGGCTTTTCGTCTCTATTTAGTCACAATTTTTAAAAAAAAGATATTTAATTTGACGTATAATGCGTAAATGTGATAATAATGTGATTTTTTTTATACATTGCAGATAGTAACGATGATGATGAAGGTTAGTTTATCATGTAGTATAATACTTACAAATGTTTATAAATAACGCATTAATGACAATAGTTTTGTCACCGTCTAATTATTTATGATGACCAACTCATTTCTACCGGAGTAAATATTATTTCCATATCAAAGCAAAAAACATCCGTGTTTTCTCATCCAGAGAAAAACACAGCAATGTTATATGTTATGTGATATTGCCAAAACAAATAAAAATGTGAATTGATAAATTTATCAGTCCTTTTTTAATCTTTCCTGATTTGTACTTCTCCTTTAAGTTCAAGAATTGTTGCGTCAACCATGGAAATGTTTTGATAAATCAATAATGCATCAGGAAAAGTTTAAAAAGATGGAGGAATATGGACGCAAACATCCAGAAAAAGTTACACTGCTCAGTGAATTGCGTGTAATTTTCAAGGAGGAGTTTTTGCTTGGCAAGGGAAGTGATGGAACCCGTGTTTACCTTGCCCTGGGAAACAATGGTTATGGAAAAGCAGTAAAGCGAATACACAAAGATAGCGGCAAAGACTATGCAAATCGAGAAAAAGAAATTTTTAATGTGTTGAATGCAAAGCGTTCAAATTATGTTGTGAATTTTTGGGATTTAAAGGAGAGCCTTGACGAAGAGTATTTGTACATGATATTAGATTTGTGTGAAGAATCGTTAGAGAGTTATGTGAATTCTTCTTCTTTGCCAGATCTTCAAAAAGTCGTTCCTAAAGTTCTTATTCAAATCTTAAATGGTCTAGTTCACCTTCACAGTGGTGAGCGTCCTATTCTTCATCGGGATTTAAGACCCTCGAACGTTCTTCGAGATGTGGATGGAAATTTTTTAATCGCTGACTTTGGTATAAGTCATATGTTATCTGATGAAACTTCGACACATCGGAGCATACAAAGAGGAGCTACATATTGGATAGCTCCAGAGTCATATGACAAATCAAATGCATCAATTGATAAAGTTCGTTAGAAAACAGAGTCTGACATTATGGTATGTTCTTGAAGTAGAACTAGAGGTCCAACTACAGCTCAATGTTTTGTTTGCAATAAATTAAATATTGGTATTTGGTAGTGATAATGATTTTACCTCTGTGCCTCGATTAAATCGTCATATAGTGTCAACCTATAAATTTAAATAGAAATAAATCAATTTTTATTAATCGTGTTACAGTTACAATGGTATATTCTTTATTTAGATTGCTTTTGATACATATATATGGTTACAATTCTATTTGGAGAAAATTTTTTAGATTTTTTTAAGCTGCACATTTATGATTGAGTTCTGCAAATCGCAAATAGATTTAATCTTTAAGGTTTTAGTATCCACCACTGACTGTTTATGACAATTGTTTATTGAAAATAGAATGCCGGAATGGTGGCTTATTATGTTGCAACAGAGGGAAAACATCCTTTTGGAATTGAACAGCATAGACTGGACAACATTTTGATTGGAAACCCAGTTGGATTGGACGAACTCGAGGATGCTACGTTCAAAGACCTTTTATATTGGATGCTACAGTTAAAACCTGAAGACAGGCCATCTGCCAACGAGGCGTTAAAACACCCTTATCTACAATCAGACGAAGAGAAATTTAACATGCTGTGTGATATGGGGAAGCAACTGGAGGTGAAACATTCACAAAGTCAAAATTCTCCCACTTTAGACGTTCATAAGCAGTTGTATGGTTCCACAGAATGGATGAAGCGTATCGATGATGAAGTCGTCAAAGATTTGATCAACGTAGAAGTAAACGACAGTATAAGAACTCTAAAGTACGAGTCTACATGGGCAGGATGCTTAATATTCATACGAAACGTTAACCAACATTGGCATGATAAACGTCGTCCGCATCTATCACAACATGTGAATCAAGGCAATTATAAAAAGTATTTCCTGCAACGTTTTCCTGAACTTCCTCTTCTGGTGCACAAAGTCATTAGGTCTGCTCACAAGAAAACTAAACCTGATCACAAGAATAATTAAGAACATCATGCATTTGTTCAGGATTTGTTTACACTATCTAATCATAAGTTTTATTGTCTCGCTTTTAAATTTAATGACTTTTCATTTAAACATTTTCTCACTCGATACTGAAGTCATATAATTAATTATGTAATATATACTGTGAAAAATTGTAATCTCTGCAAATGGATATGATTACTCGGAATACATGGCATTCCTCGGAATACATGGCATTCATCTTGTTAAATGAATTAAAATTGTATGTTCGTCATTCGTATTTTGTTAAATATATGCATGGCTCCGACTCAAAATTATTTAGAGTTTTGAGCGTTGGAGATTTACCTCATCGCAGAATACAGCGAGGAGTTAAGAATTGGATAGCTCCAGTCATATGATCTATCCAATGTTCCAAGTATTCGTTATATGTTATGATAAGTGTTTGTTGTGTACATTTAAATGTAGTTGAATTCTGCAAATAGCAAATAAAATCAATATTTGACGTTTCAGTATCCACCGCCAGTAAACATGTAACTGTTATGATGTTTTTTTATTGATTTTAGAATGCAGGAATAGTGGCTTTTTACGTTGAAACAAATGGAAAACATCGTTTAGGACCTGAACGGTTTTTATTTTTTCGTAAATGTTTTCAGTATGAAAGCTAATTGATATTGGCAAATAGTCAAAGTCAATTATTTAAGTAACATTTTATGCAATGAAATTTGTCAAATTTATTCAATGAAATACAGATGATGTTTCACTTCACTCCAAAGATTTGAGATATTTTTGACAAGTCTTCCTTTTCCCTTTTGCTTTTGCTTTTGATTATTGAATATATCCAAGCTGTTTGTACACCTGCCACATTTCAACATCATGTCAAAATGCTTTATTGATAATTCTCAGCTTTCTTTGTAGATGGAAAACACACATAGATTTGCCATATTCCATTCTACAGTCGGAAGATTTTTCGTTCTCAAGCCTGTATGGACATTCTCAGTCCTACTCGTGTTACAGTTCATTACCGTTCGCATCAAATTATCTCGAGAGCTATTTAAGATATCGGCAAAATATACGCATAAACCACAGTCCTGTGTTTTTCTACTGTAGAAGCACAGCCGGGGATTTGTACGAGGTTTACCGACATTTCTTGCTACTTGGAGTGGACTTGGATGAAATCAAAGATGCCACACTAAAATCAGAAGACAAGCCATCTGCAGACGAAGAATGTTATGTATAAAGTTGGAAAACAGCTATCGATTAAAAAAAATATGTCTGTGTTAGATAAAATGCAAAATGAATGAAAGCTTGAGCGCTTTCCGGCACCCGTGTCATAATTACCAGATATTCAACATGTTGAATAATTTCGGTCAGGAATGAATGTTTCTTCCAAGTGCGCGCGCATGAAAAGCTATCGCCTCAGCAAATGTAACCTTTACGCATGCTCTGTCTACGGTAATATTTGCTATTCAAAGCAAAATGGCTGCTGCTTATGGTATGTTTGATTCGTCGTCAGAGGTAGAAGACAAAGAAATGTTGCTTTTGCCACTTTTATTGCGGCTATGGCGAAGGTGTTTGAAAGCAGCTAAATCAACTACATGGATAAAGCGTGGGATTTCAGGATGGCCTACACAGGAAGCTACAAATATTGTCCATGAGCTGGATGCTGAAGAGGCTGAGCAGTTTCGGAAGAATCGTAGATTGGATAAAACCGCTTTCGATGAATGACTTTGGTCTTCTAACATTATATCAGCTATCACGTTTTGTGCCGCCATCTTCGTCTAAGGTATAAAATGAGTTACTTTGCGCATGCATAAAGTTACATTTGCTGAGGCGATAGCTTTTGATGCGCGCTAACTTGGAGGAAACATTCATTCGTGACCAACATTATTCAACATGATGAATATCAAGACAAATATGACACGCGTGCCGGAAAGCGCTCAAAAACACCGCCGAACACTGGAGGAACTTGCTTACTCCAACTTTCAGGAGTGAAGCTTAGCTCAGCTACAGTATAGAGAACATACAGTATAGTCACTCTATTGAAATTTTTTGTGTCACGCATATCTTATTACACATGTGATTACCATAGTGGCAGCCAGTCAATTGCAATTTCTGACCAATAGGAATGATGAAATGGTTAACGGCAGCCAGTAAACTAATTAAATATACAGCAGCCAGTTGCACAGCCATGGAGCATTTTCAACCCTGTGCTAAATTGAGCTCCGTTAAGTGAGTTGAAACTTCAGCTCCGTCTTAATATAAATCATTCGCTATATCAAACACGCAATTATAAGCCAAATTTTCAACCCTGTGCTGAGTTCAAGCCCAATGTTGAAATTTCAACCCTGTTTTAGCTAATCGGGTTAAAATTGCGGCTCCAATTAGGGGCTGATTACAGAAACCCGGGTAGCCGTGATTCAGCCAAGCGTTAAATGATTTTGGCGAATGGAAACGATTCAATACTTGTCATCAGATAAATCTTCTCGAGCAATTTCGCAATATTCTGATTTAATAACTACGCAAAACATTTAAAATGAAAACAATCAATTTGGCCTAATTTGAGAATTACAACAGGAATGAATTGCGGCATTTAACAAACTGTTCTAGTTTTTAATCTTGAAATTTTGCCTCGAAATCCCTCGAAATCATTTCACGCCTCACTGAAACCCGGTTAACTGGGATCATGTAAACAGCCCCTTAACATTCTATTTTCACCATATGTCGAACTCAGCACTGGAACGAAAATTACCACCATGTAATCGTTTTTAACGTAGGCCTGAGTTTTTTAACCATATCTAGTCAATTGATGTCGGCTAGACATGATTTTTATGTTTTATATTTCTGGTGTCTATTAGATTAGATTCCTATTAATCTCTAATTACTTTTTAATTAATTCCCAAAGGCTAAACTTTGTTTTGGAGGACCCCAAACAGATTTTTAGAGTTTTTGTATTTATTTAATTTGTTTTTGAATTTATAATTTTCCGTGTGCCAATTTAACACCTTTAAGGAAGTGAAAATGCAGCTTTTGGCTGCGTACTCCTATTTAAAATGGACTCCATATTGAAAAACAAGCAATGCTCTTTGTTTGAAATGTTACGCCACAGGGTACAGCAAGAATAGAAGATTTATTGTATGGTAAACAATCAGTATTTGGGCATAAACATTAAGAAATAGTTATTTTTTGCATACGGCTTACGCTTTAGTCACAAAATAATTTTACAAAACTTACATGAAGTAGCTCAGTCATTAGTGAAACAATCATGTTTATTGTAAAAACTACGGAAAAGGGTTTTCAACAATTATTTCTACATTATTACAAAAAAATTAATGTGGGCAATTTGTGCTGTTATTTAAAAATTGGAAATCCCTACGGAAATTTTCGAAGATAGATGATTGTTTTTTTTGAATGTGAGGACACAAGCAAAGTGTTAATAAAGGCATGTAAAGAAAGAGTGAAAAAGAATCATTGACACGAGCAAAAGTAGAGGAGATTCCATTCATGAATGGTTAGAAAAAGAGAATCCTTGAAGGGAATCCTGACATTCAAATACAATGTAGCAAGTCACGTGTTCCATCGTATACCTCACTGACCTATATAAAGCGTCATTTAAAGCGTCAAAGCGTGAGTCAAGAAAAAACTGATGCTACAACTTGCTCATTTGTTGTAAAACGTACACGACAATCAAATTCAAGAACAACGTTTTCTTTCCAGGAAGACTGTGTTTTATGCGGTGAAAAATATTTTATGCGAAGGATCCCCGTCACCCTAGTCGATGACATTCACTTACGTTGTGTAAGATGGCAGATCGTGGTTTGGGGCAAAAGTCATTTAAAGAAACGATATTACATGCGTGTGACATACGTAATGATAAATGAGCAGAGCAAGTAAGAACCAGAGTACTAGGGGCAGTTAGTTACCCTTATGCTGCCGATGCCAGATTCCACTGGGACTGCCGACTAAATTTCATGGCACTACGACAAATGTCCAAATGTGCAAAAGCAAAGGAATGTCAGAATAAAGAAGACGAAGATGATACTTTCCAAACTGTTATTAATAAGATAAGATCCGATTACTCCCAAGTTTGGAACTCTGTTGAAATTTACAATATGTACATTTCTAACAGTGGAAACCAACTTTCTCGACGTAAACTTTTGGAGAATCTTAACAATGTCCTTTGTAAAGATTTGCTAATCCTGTCATCTCCTGGTGTTGCAAGCATGATATTTTTCGGGAGAAAGCGTCACAATGTCTTAAAGTCGCTCGAGGAAATTGGCAGCGCTGATATAAATGCCATTGATGAGCGTATAGTTACAGAGTGTAAAACTCTTAAACCTGGCAATGAAACCTAGTACAAGACGTCTGTGGATAAAAACATTGCTGCCGAAAGCACAAGCCCTACGTTGTTGCATCTGTTATCCTATATCTCCATTAATTGATTAACACTTAACCTGCAATACTTATTGGCAATCTAGTAACTAGCAGTTTTCTAACCGGCCTACTTCCCTTCAAATTTCACGCGATCTTTT